TATAACAAGTATATAAGTGTAATTGTTTTTGCCCTTATGTTAATAATCACTACTCTATATCCATTAATATTTACTACGCAAACTACTGTCACAGATAATAGTTTAAATAGTGATTTAATATTATGTAACAATATTACAAGACTTAATGAATTGTGTTTAAATAATGGTGAATGTGGAAGAATAAAAGATACAGATGTTACCACAGAGGTGGGTGTACGCATAAAAATGCAAAAGAGGTCTAATTCAGATACGTTGTTGGTTGAGAAAAAAAACCAGAAAACGACATTATAAAGGTGAAGATGAACGAAAGAATTTGAAGAAAAAAAGAAGAAGGAATGAAATAGAAGAAAAAAATATTTTTTTTAGTAAGCATTTTGTTTGCAAAATAAAAACAAAACCAGATTATATCTATACGTGTGCTTTAAAGAAGGTCTCAGCTTTATTTTTTGAAATATTTAGTAAAAACGCCATAATTAGAGAAAAAGCTTTACAACTAATGAAGAAAAAAGAAAATTTTTCAAAAAAATTTTCGCAAGAAAAATATTTTTATTTTGTAATGAGATTTATACTTAAAAAGGGTTTTTTAAAAACAAACGACCCATATAAATTACTCTTAAAAACTCTTGCATTTCATACGTACACGTACATTCAATTTATTAGCTTAAGTAGAATTTTTGATGATGATATGTCGTATCCTGCTGCAATATATAATTTTGTAAATCGCGCCTTAGATATTAAATTTAATAAGAAATGTAATTGGAAAATTGATCAATTATTAGTTCCTAAGAACAACGATATCAAGAAATTGCTTACTTATTCTTTAGTTAAAGACAGAATTACTAAAAAAGATTTTGAAATGTTTTATAGGCAAAGGTGTTACGTGTTGATCATAAATGATTCTAATCAATTATTTACATCAATATTTAAAAACAGTTCTTATATCTATCCTTCTATATTGTATAACGCAACAGTCTTTCCTGAAAATCCTTCTCTAAATAGTTTTGGAGATATGCGACACTGACTTAAATTTATATTTAAAAAGATAATTGTGTAAGATGCGTAGTTTTCTATTTATCCAATTAATATTTTAGCTTCATTTTTTGTAAAATGAAAAAAAGGCATTATAAGGGTCTTTATATTAACATGACCAGCTATCATTTTATTTAAAAAAATATATTTGATAATATCATACTACAATAAGTAGTTAAATCAGTTTCTCAACCCCTATTTTAATATAAAGCATAAGTAAAATATAGCAATTCTTAAATGTAAAACAATGTCCCGCCGATATGTGAATCAAGACATTGCTTAAGAATATCAAAAACAGTATAAAGAACATAGTTCCGGGCGATTAGTTTTGTATATAATAT